GGAGGCCATTCCCACCACCCTCACCACTAGACTGATGCAAATTTTGACTTTTTCGCTCCACAGTGCTTAAATGGTTTCAAATCGGGTCCTGATTAGCCTCCCAAAGTTACAACTCATTTGGTTAGAAACAGACTTCGCACAAGCCATTTGAAGTTTGCATGTAAATTACTATGGGAAATCTCAACTTTTTGTTCATTGCCTTCTAGTCTTTTTCCATATTGAGCTGCGAAACAGTTCGATAGCCATTCTTATAGAAAATTCTCAGCTACAACTTTGCTGAAAATCGTTTCTATGTAAAACGAGACAGGAAAAAGTTATTAATTATTTAAGAGATTGGTAAACTTATGACAAGATCAAGCAGCTGCTCTGTAGGCAACACTGTATTTTGCAGTGTGACATAGTAGACATGATTTTTGTATCCTAACTTCAACGCCCCACAAACACCAATGTTGCCTGCTGAGCAGTTGATTGAGCATGATCATAAGACATCAGCGCATTGAACCATTGATAACTTTCGATCCTTACATTTAATCAAAAAGTGGTCCTCAGCAAAGTTGTAGCTGGGAAAATTTGCAACTAGTACAGTTGAACGTTTTTGAAGCAGACCGATATGGTGAATTATTAGATAGACATGAACAAAAATCTTGGTTTTACCATAGTAATTCCCATTCAAACTTCAAATGGTTTGTGCCATCTCAGTTTCTCACCAAATGGGTTAAAATTTTGAGAGGTTAGTCAGGATCCGATTTGGAATCGTTTAAGTATTGTGGAGCGAAAATTTCAAATTTTGCATCACTCTACTCACCACCCACCATTACGTCCCTGAAAAGACAGGAAACATGCAATGGACCTCAGGCTCGCCATGGTGGCACCATGTGTTCTGGCAACACTGGCCGTTGCCCTCCTCCATCGCTGCAGTGAATTTGGACGATGAGGAAGTAAGTATGACAGATGAAGTGACGGATTGAAAAAAGGAGGATAGATAGACACACAAACAATACAGTATCGTTTAGAAAGTGCTTAAAAGTGAGTTTTTAGTATTCTGTGCTTTGGGAATTTGTAGAAAGTTTGTGGACAATTTTAGGTCAGTGGAGGTTACAAAACACGGAACGGCAAGCAGACGACTCACAAGTAGGCGAAAGAACATTGCAGAGCGGTCAAGGTAGAAGAAAGGTTGTTTGCAGGAGGAACAATAACTAAAATTTTTGATCAACTTTATTTACGGTTGATTTACAAAAAAAAAAACGGTTTTGTTTTTCTTTGATCCGAACACCATGCATTCAGCTTATTTTTATTTTCAAGGTATGTGATATTTGACGAGTGATCAACAAAATCGAAGCCTAATTCCTAGCGATCAGTTGTCTAAAAACCAATCCACCAGCCATACAGATTTAAATCTGGCCAATTTTTTTTTGAAAATTAAATTATTTGTACAAGCTCAATCGAATAAACTTTACAGAGCCAAATTATCATTTGTGTTATACATTATTAATGTTTTAAGTCTAAAGTTAAAATCTAAAGTTAAAGAAATTGAACCGTGTACTCGCGGTCGTCTCGAGGGAGAAGGAGGTTTGAATTGATAAAAATATTTCACTACACCGTTGTCTCAACGTGCAGTTGTCACTAAGACAATTATCAATTTATTTGACGTAGCAATTATACCATAGGGCGCTTAAACATGAGCCCTGGGGGAGCTCATGTAGCTAAATCGTGAAGCTGTAGATTTTCCATGAGATAAGCTCATATGTTTCTCTGACAGAAAATTGTACAACAAGTTATTAATTGATGGAGAAAGGTCACATGCGTGGAGTTTGTCTGAAAGGATTTCAACCATAAAGAATCAAAAGCCCCGTTAATATCCAAGAACACAGAAGCCATTTGCTCTTTTTTTTAGAGCAAAGGCCAGCTGAATTTCTGTGGAAAGCAACGCGAGACAGTCGTTCGTTCCCTTGCCCCTATGGAAACCAAACTGAATATCTGAGAGTAGGTGGTTCGTCTCAACCCATTTGTCCAAGCGAGAAAGGATAATTTTCTCCAACGAATGCACGATAACATCGCGATGGGTCGGTACGAGTTGTAATCTGACGCGGGTTTGCCAGGCTTTCTAATGGCTATAACTCTCGCCCGCCTCCAATCATACGGGACAATATTGAGCTCCAGGAACTGACCAAACAAGTTCAACATGCGCCTCTTAGCGACGTCTGGGAGGTTCCTCTACAAGTTGAACTTGATCCTATTAGTCCCTTAAAATGAATTGCCACACGAAAGGAGCGCGATTGAGAGCTCCACCATTGAAAAAGGCTAATCTCGTCTACCGAAATCGTCGTTTCGCGAGGAATTAACCGTGCCGGCACGGAATTAGGACACACTTTTCGCACGAACTTGAGAATCCAACGATCCGAGTACTCCTCGCTCTAGTTGTCTGAAGACCGGTTACGCATCCTTCGCGCCACATTTCAAAGCGTATTCATCGACGTTTCGCGCGATAATCCTTCCACGAATTGCCGCCAGTATCCGAGTTTCTTCGCTTTGATGAGGCTCTTGAGTTCGCGTTCAAGAGCCGAGTACGCTTCGAAATTTACGGGTGTTCCACGTTTCCGGAAAAGCTTAAACGCGTCGGACTTTTTACTATAAACCTCAGTGCATTGCTGGTCCCACCAAGGGGAAAGAGGTTCCCTACGGAAAGACGTTCCAGGAACCGGCCGAGTTTGAGCGCTCTGTCCAAGATCAGATTGGAGAGGAATTTATATTCCTCCAACGGTGGAAGCCCTTCTACCGACGTTAGTGCTTCATCTATCACAGTATTGAACTTTGCCCAATCGAGATTAACGGGTTCCGACGGATTGAACACACTAGCTACTTTGATTGGCAAGTGATCACTACCGTGGCATCCTGGATTACAGTCCACGTGCAATCCAACGATAATTGACATGCAACAACTTCAATACCTGGAAATTGTGGAAGATTCACTCTAGAGAAGGAATGGTACTTTTTGATCCCCAAAAGTACCCCTCCTCCACGTGAATCTTCACGATCCAGTCGAATAATGTTAAAATCATGAAATGGAAGATCGATATCAGGAAATCCTGCTTAATATGACCCCTCAAGTAACATTGCAAGTTTTATCGAGGTTTTAAAGAACTCTTCAAGCCTAAACCATGGTCTCCAAGAGCGTTATAAAACCAAAATTTTTGCTTGGGCCGTAATACTTTATTGGTAACTTCTTTTGCTGTACTCCTTCAGGCACGTTATAAACATATAGTTTCCATGTAGAAATGCCAGTCAAAAAACCTCAACCTCTATGTATTTATAGCAAAAAGATATTTATTTGTTTTAATTTTTCCACTTCAAATTGACCCCAAAGATATATTACAATATGTCAAACAGTATTAATTGGAACAAAACTGGTGACCTATAGGGATATATAAATAACAATTAAACTTAGTCCTAGTGACCAATTCATTCCTTTTTCATTCGACCCAATTGCAGTTGCTCTAATAACCCCTTACCGTTATAAAAAGTCAAGAGTAAGAACTGTGAAAGTGCTCTAAGAACAAACACAATGATCAACACTTTATAGAATGCATGAAAAGTATGATTTTCGGCATTAAACTACGCATACACTCCAGTAGAAGGAAACAGAAGAAGGCCCAAATCCATCACATGAACTCGAAATAGTTTTCCGTTGCGATTTTATGTACGCAAGGCGAATGATTTGCAGCTTCTCGCGGCAGGATCTGTCGGTGATTGATGTAGATACCACCTATTTAAACTCATATGCCCACGAATACATATGACTTGAACTCCTCCTTCAGGAATGGTTCCGTTGCATTCTGACACCCGAAAAGCCGATATTATCGGAACGTGGTGCGGTTGTGGCTCTACCATCAGCAGCACCACGGTTGTTGCGGTTTACGAGATTTGTGTTGGACTTCGAACAAAGTGCGGTCAATACACTGTGAATGCTGGTTCGGATTGTGGTTGGACCTGAGAGGAATTTGCTTTCTCACATCCAGTGTATTGTCACGTACCCACGTGGGAGTTGCTGCGTGATGCCGAGAAAGCGCGTTTGATTATCAATCATAAACATAATGTTACGGTCTATCTCGATGTGTGTGCGTGGGTAGGCGAAAATGGCGAAAGGCATCATTAGTTCGTCGGGTTGGTAATGCTAGTTAGTCGGTTAGTGGGTGGGCAAATAGCCTTCATCGCTTTGAGGGCACTGAAGTTGTGGGAGTAATTGAGTGATTAATTTGGTTAGATTTCCTTGATACTTACTTGAAGGTGTTTGTTTGAGATCGTTCACAACTTTTCGCCCTGAGTACATTATAATGATGCTCAATATCGATGCCTCTGAGCAAGGGAGAATGTATATCGAACAATTATTTCTGCTGGCAAAAATATAAAATGTTATCGTACGGAAAACTCCGATACTTCCTGTGTCATTTTTTTTTAAAGTTAATCAGAAACAGGGAAAAGAAACGAACATTGCAATCATCGTCAAACATTGTCGTGAATGGCGGAGAAATTCAAAGAGAAATGAAATTTCGGTTTGTAACGCTTTTCAGTCGTTTCCTTTTCGTAGCCTTGAGGGGAAGTGAAAGCGATTTCATTGCTGTTGACAACGGTTCTTTGTCATATTTCTCGTTAAAATATTATTTAATTGAAAAGCTTCAGATACCGTTTTGAGTCACGTTCCTGAACACTTGAGGTTGTAAGGATATTTACTAGAAATATTTGACTGTATTTACAGACCAAATCAATTCAACCAGGAAATTCAAGATTTTCTTACGGATTTGAATTTACTCATGTACAGATTCAAGTCTCGTTTATCAATATCGACATTTAGATTGAAATAATTGATGAAAATGAGTTATGTCGTATGCATGTGAGTGAAATTATTGCATGCATAATAAACGATTTTCCCACGCTCTGGTTCATGTATCACTACAGATGTTTTTATTTTAAAGGAACATTCAAATCGTCATTATGTTACTCACCGTGTGCAAATTCGATATCTGCGTCAACTCCCCCGGAGTCATATGATGTAAGGCCAACATTGTTTCCTACAAAATATTCGATTTGTTCCCTTTGCTGATATCTTCTCGACTATTAGGTATGGCGTTAAAACCGTGGATCCAATACCTTTTGCCTCGAAACAGAAGAATAACTAAACACTTTTCCTCACTGTGTCGCACTGTCGAATACCGACGACGAAGAAAGAGACAGCAACAACAAGAACCAACAATAACGACGACGATGACAACAATAAGAACAATACCTGCAACTATCACCGACAGCCATTTTACTGCTCGTATTCACATTTTCCAGTGAGCATTGAGCCCTTTCTTAAAATCAGCACATTGTGCAAAAACTAAACCTGAATTGCTTTTGACTAAGAATAAACCACCCCGAGATTGCAGCTTCCATCAGATTCCATCGTTTCGTTCGTTCGATCGGCAGGCTGGTGGATGGCTGGAAATTTGATTTCACTTTTCACTGAACTAATTTTCTCTCACTTCTTTCGACTGCTGCAGTAGTGGCTGTACTGTGCTATATGTATAGGTATATACCTACATATTCCATAAACAACATCACAACACTTCACAGCATCTATAGCAGTAGCACAACGGATCATGCCAGGGCAGCATCCTATCCTAGCTCACTACTGGCTCGCGCGCCTCGACGATGGGCTGCTGCTGAAAATGAAGAAAAGCAGGAAAATGGCAAATGGGAACTAATGTCGGTAGAATCTGTGGTGTTTCGTTGGGTCATACACGTGGTAGGTCATGTGATTGGCTTCCGAACCGTACAGTTGAGAGAGAGAGAGAGTACATTCTCCGGAATCTTCCCCGACTGCAATACCCAGTCCAGAGCCATGGCTCGGCCGTAAAGCTATCCACACAGCTTGAGTGTACACAGACATGCTTGCACTTACAACAACTTGGACTTGTTGTTCATCGGACCGAGCGTGTGGACAAGGATGATAGCTTGTCTCCCGTGGGCCGAGCGGCTCCGTTAGTGGTTAGGACTCGAATAGTGGTCGTTCGTTGGTTTGCCGGTAGCAGAGCTGCAGTGCGGCGGCTTTTCTCTGATGATTATATTCCGGACTATGGAATTATACAGAGGAAACAGGTTGTAAATGATGGTTTGTTCGAATTGAGTTTTAAAGCCAGCATCATGTACGATACTGAATTGTGTTGTGGAATATGGGGTGGGCAATGGTTGATTATGGAAGCTACGATGAAATACGATAGGAAGGAATGAAAAGCACCTTTTTATAATCGAGATTATATTGTTTCTGTGAGAAGATGGTTCTCAAAAAAACATCATGTTTCAATTTAAACTTTAGTAAGCAGGGTAAAGGAAACTAGTTTTGATCATACTTGAGTGAAGTATTCATTTATGGATTCCAAATAATCAATAATTGTGTTTGAATGTATGGTCCTTGAGGGATGTAGTAATGGAGCCAGCTGATTGACTTCCTTTAAAATATGGCGAGTACTCATAATGTTCAGTTGTATATTGGTCATTCAATCTATATACAATGTTGTGGTCAATTTTTCCGATTTCAACCAAACTGCCAAAATGCTTGTTTTTATAATCTAAGAAAACCCCTTTTAGAATTGATGAAATGACCCATAAAAAATTGAAAAATAGTCCTAACAACACTCAAATGATCCTTTAAAAATCCGCTGAAAATCCCTAAAAATTATACAAAAAAAAAAACGTTCATCAATTAACCAGAAAGTATCCAAATTGATCCATAGAAAATCATGTTTGGGCACTAAAAATATAGCAATATTCCATAAATTAGACATAAATAGGGAAAATGGCTCCAATGTTGGCCTATGGATCTAAGATGGGGCCCATCGCTAAAAATCTGCTATTTATCGATTGTCACTGGGACGGTGCTAATGGATATTTTTGGTTGCTATTGTAAATTTAGTCGATTGCTGAATTTATGTATGGGCCCAAATTAGGGACACTAAGGCCGACATTACATACATTTCCCCTATATTTTTCATTTTTTGAACATTTTTTTTTTATTTTAATCCTTACATACTTATCCTGATCCAACATCCCTCAGGATTGCACCTGCATCACAATGTTACGCCAATTTACTCGGTCCGTGGCTGCTTGTCTCCAATTTCTTGACCGTCCCACACTTCCAAGATCCTGCTGCACTTGGTCTAACCACCTTGCTCGCTGTGCTCCTCTTCGTCTTGTACCGGCCGGATTCGAGGCAAACACCATTTTTGCGGGATTGTTGTCCGGCATTCTTAAAACGTGTCCCGCCCATCGTACCCGTCCAGCTTTCGCAACTTTCTGGATACAGGGTTCGCCATAGAGTTGCGCCAGCTCGTGGTTCATCCTTCGCCTCCATACACCGTTCTCACATACCCCGCCAAAGATGCTACTAAGCACTCGTCGTTCGAAAACACCCAGTGCTTGCAGGTCCTCCTCGAGCATCGTCCACGTCTCGTGCCCGTAGTACATGGTGTGTACATGGTACATTTAGTACGGAAGTGAAGTTTACCCGACCTCAGGGTTTTGTGGAGTTCGTAGTAAGCACGACCTCCGGCAATAATACGCCTACGAATTTCTCTGCTGCAGTTGTTATCCGACGTCACGAATGATCCGAGGTACACAAATTCATCCACCACCTCGAACTCATCTCCGTCGATTGTCACGCTTCTGCCTATGCGAGCCCTATTTTGCTCGGTTCCTCCAGCTAACAGATACTTTGTCTTCGACGTATTCACCTTTAATCCAACCTTCTCTACTTCACGTTTCAGCCTGGTGTATTGCTCTGCCACGGCCTGAAACGTTCTTCCGACAATGTCCACGTCGTCAGCGAAGCAGATGAACTGGCTGGACTTAGTGTAGATCGGGGCTATAAGGGCTGTGCGCGTTGATTATGCTGACATTGAACAAACGGCCTTTGAGCATTCTGCTATCGATTGGCCACCACTCAATCACGCGCTTCTGCATTTCGCCCATCACGATGAAAGCTGTACCCAGCTCATGTGTATTGCCGCAGCTCTGGTAGATGGTATAACCATCCCTATACGTATGCAACGACGATCCCTTCCAGCAAACCTCCTGCAGCGCTACGATGCGGACCCTCAATAAATCGGAAAGAATGCGGGTACTTCCCAAGAAATTGAGAGACTTGCAGTTCCATGTTCCGAGTTTCCAATCGTTGGTCCGTTTCCGTTGCTTGAGTCTATGTCGATTGTTCCGGTCCGTATTTACATTGCTTGCTTCCTGTACTTTTGTTTTTTTTTTACGGCTGGCTTGTAGGGCCTGCACCAACCCCCATTGTCTCGCCGGGGGACCATCGTGCTTAGAGTCCCACGCTGGAACCAGGACGTTGATCAGCCGCTTCTAACATGGAGAACAGACGCCGTTTTGAGCCACACCTCCATGGTAAACAGACGCTCGAAGACTGCACTCTCCGGAGAGAGGTGTCCCCCCCTACTCTTTCAGCATACGACCAGAGGAGGTAGGGATAGGAGTTACTGGACAAGAGGCTAAGGACTGCTAGTGGGGTCTATTTTATACCTGCAGATACGTGAAGTATCAATGGTACGCATTGTCCAGCCGTTTACCAGCCATCCATAAACTTCGGAAAATTGTTTCAGTACCGCGTAGCTACTCAGAAGGTGTTCTTGTTTCGATCTTGTTATGGGAATCCTTTTTGAAAGTCAGTCGATTTTTTGGCTAGAAGTACACCGGACTTGTAAGTGGACCGGAACTTGTTCCCGGATTAGCTCTGAAAGTTAACCGGACTTCGTCTGGTTTGCCCTGGAAAGCCACCAAACTTGTTTTGGAAGTTCACCAGATTTCTTCAGGCAGTCCACCAGAATGGTTGTGGATGTCCACCAGACTTGTAAGTCCATCGGACTGTTTTAAAAGTCGACATGATTGTAGTCTGAAAGTCCTTCAGCATTGCTCTGGAAGTCTTTCGGAATTGCTCTGGAAGTCCACCTGACCTTAAGTTCACCGAATTTGTTCTGGAAGTCCATCGAACTTGTTCTGAAAGTCAAGTGGACTATCTTTGAAAGTTAATCGAACTTCCTTTGGTTTGCCGTGGAAGGCCACCAAACTTGTTTTGGTAGTTCAAAAGGTTTCTTCTAGCAGTCATCCAGAATGGTTTTGGAAGTCCATCAAACTTCTTCTGGAAGTCCACTGGCTTGCTTTGAAAGTCAATTGGATTTTGGTCTGAAATTCCTTCGGAATCACCCTGGAAGTCTTTCGGATTGTTCTGAAAGTTCACCTGAATTGATATGGAAGTTTACCGGACTTGTTCTGGAAGTCCATCGATCGAAAGTTCATCGGACTTATTCTGGAAGTCATCTGGAAATATTGTGGGCTTATTTACTGGAATTATTCTAGAAGCTCACTAGACTGGATCACAACTGGATTGTAGTCTGAAAGTCTTTCGGAATTGTTCTGAAAGTCTTCCGGAATTGCTCTGGAAGCCCAGTTGACTTAATATGGAAGTTCACCGGAAATGTTCTGGAAGTCCATCGAACTTGTTCTGAAAGTCCACAGGACTAGCTTAGAAAGTAAACCGAACTTCTTCTGGTTTGCCGTGGAAGGCCACCAAACTTGTTTTGGTAGTTCAAAAGGTTTCTTCTAGCAGTCATCCAGAATGGTTTTGGAAGTCCATCAAACTTCTTCTGGAAGTCCACTGGCTTGCTTTGAAAGTCAATTGGATTTTGGTCTGAAATTCCTTCGGAATTATCCTGGAAGTCTTTTGGATTGTTCTGAAAGTTTACCTGAATTGATATGGAAGTTTATCGGACTTGTTCTGGAAGTCCATCGATCGAAAGTTCATCGGACTTATTCTGGAAGTCATCTGGAAATATTGTGGACTTATTTACTGGAATTATTCTGAAGCTCACTAGACTGGATCACAACTGGATTGTAGTCTCGAAAGTCTGAAAGTCCACAGGACTAGCTTTGAAAGTTAATCGAACTTCTTCTGGTTTGCCGTGGAAGGCCACCAAACTTGTTTTGGTAGTTCAAAAGGTTTCTTCTAGCAGTCATCCAGAATGGTTTTGGAAGTCCATCAAACTTCTTCTGGAAGTCCACTGGCTTGCTTTGAAAGTCAATTGGTTTTGGTCTGAAATTCCTTCGGAATCACCCTGGAAGTCTTTTGGATTGTTCTGAAAGTTCACCTGAATTGATATGGAAGTTTACCGGATTTGTTCTGGAAGTCCATCGATCGAAAGTTCATCGGACTTATTCTGGAAGTCATCTGGAAATATTGTGGACTTATTTACTGGAATTATTCTAGAAGCTCACTAGACTGGATCACAACTGGATTGTAGTCTGAAAGTCTTCCGGAATGGCTCTGGAAACCCAGCTGACTTAATATGGAAGTTCACCGGAAATGTTCTGGAAGTCCATCGAACTTGTTCTGAAAGTCCACAGGAAGTGAAAGTTAATCGAACTTCTTCTGGTTTGCCGTGGAAGGCTACCAAACTTGTTTTGGTAGTTCAAAAGGTTTCTTCTAGCAGTAATCCAGAATGGTTTTGGAAGTCCATCAAACTTCTTCTGGAAGTCCACTGGCTTGCTTTGAAAGTCAATTGGATTTTGGTCT